TGGTGGGGTGCAGAACGCAGACGGGGGTGTCAGCCTCAAGCTAATCCCCAGAATGACCAGGAGGAGGTGCCAGTCCGCGAGTGAGTGCTCCATGACACGTGTTTCAGATACAAATGGGCATCTTCAAGATGTAACTGTGTTAACAGAAAATGACAAGGCAAAAATAAAAATTGAGTTAAGTTTAAAATAATGTGCTAAATGCCCCCCACTATCCAGGCCTTGAAGTGCATTCCTCACAGAAATAAGTTTTAATTTACCTTATAAAAATAGTCAGGGCCAGATACTCAATTGACATACATTTGCATAGCCAGCAAAGCTCCGCCAATTTATACCACTAAGGATCTACACACAATTCTTTCATAATCTTCCCTCTTTGCAATCCTCTTAGAATCATAGGACTGGAAGGGACCTCGAGAGTTCTTCTAGTCCAGTCCCCTGCACTCATGGCAGGACTAAGTGTTATCTAGGCCATCCCTGACAGGTGTTTGTCTAACCTGGTCTTAAAAATCTCCAATGATGGAGATTCCATCACCTCCCTAGGCAATTTATTCCAGTGCTTAACCACCCTGTCAATTAAGAAGTTTTTCCTAATGTCAACCTAAACCTAATGTCCAACTTGCTGCAATTTAAGCCCATTGCTTGTCCTATCCTCAGTGGTTAAGAACAACAATTTTTCTCCCTCCTCCTTGTAACAACCTTTTATGTTCTTGAAAACTGTTATCATGTCCCCACTCAGGCTTCTCTTTTCCAGAATAAACAAACCCAATTTTTTTCAATCTTCCCTCATAGATCATGTTTTCTAGACCTTTAATCATTTTTGTTGCTCTTCTCTGGAATTTCTTTTGTCCACATCTTGCCTGAAATGTAGCGCCCAGAACTGGATACAATACTCCAGTGAGGCCTAATCAGTGCAGAGTAGAGTGGAAGAATTACTTCTCATGTCTTGTTTACAACACTCCTGCTAATACATCCCAGAATGATGTTTGCTGCCCTTTTTTTTTTTTTTTTTTTTTTTTTTTTGCAACAGTGTTACACTGTTGACTCATATTTAGCTTGTGATACACTATGGCCCCCAGATCCCTTTCCACAGTACTCCTTCCTAGGCCATCATTTCCCATTTTGAATGTGTGCAACTGGTTGTTCCTTCCTAAGTGGAGTACTTTGCATTTGTCCTTATTGACTTTCATCCTATTTACTTCAGACCATTTCTCTAGTTTGTCCAGATCATTTTGAATTATAATTCTATCCTCCAAAGAACTTTCAACCTCCTCCTAGCTTGGTATCATCCACAAACTTTATAAGTGTACTCTCTATGCCATTATCTAAATCATTGATGAAACTATTGAACAGAACCGGACCCAGAACTGATCCCTGCAGGACTCCACTCATTATGCCCCTCCATCATGACTGCGAACCACTGATAACCACTCTCTGGGAATGGTTTTCCAACCAGTTATGCACCCACCTTATAATAGTTCCATCTAGATTGTATTACCCTAGTTTGTTTATGATGTTATGCGAGGCAGTATCAAAAGCTTTACTGAAATCAAGATATACCACATCTACCGCTTCCCCCCATCCACAAGGCTTGTTACCCTATCAAAGAAAGCTATGAGTTTGATTTGACATGATTTGTTCCTGACTGTTACTTATCACATTATCTTCTAGATGTTTGCAGGTTGATTGCTTGATTATTTGCTCCATTATCTTTCCAGGTACAGAAGTTAAGCTGACTGGTCTGTTAGTAATTCCCCGGGTTTTTCTTATTTCACTTTTTATAGATTGGCACTATATTTGCCAATATATTTGGTGCTGTATTTCCTGTTTCACAGGTAGCATTGTGTCAAATACCATTGCATTTTTGGTAATGAATTCTGAGCTCTTTTTAGTGAACCAGGAAGTGCCAGGAGGATCTCACATTGAGGTAAGGAAACAGTGACAAAACAATTATTTAAGCTTAACCCCTCTTTTGAATGCCCTCCAGAGCCTGGTTAGTAAAGGTTTTTCATATCCATTTCCAGGATCAAATGGACTCTGAGCGGTTAGAAGTCATATATTTAAAAGGAAAATGGCCTGACTTTCGGAGATGTTAAGCAGCACTGGGCTGTGGCTGGGGGACACAGCTGCTGAGGAGGTGTGTGTAGGGAGGTGGGGGAAATGTGCAATTGAACGTCACCCTCTAAACTGGGCCTCCAAAGAGCCAGCTTTTCCCCCCTCCCCACACACACACCTTCCCTTGTGGAATCCACTGCTTCAGTCACACCAGTGGAAATGTGTGGGGGGAGAAAGAGTGATTAGGATGAAGGTACAAAGTGATCCCCTGCAGGAGGATGCTTCCTGAGATGGTTGGGGTGGCCTTTCTATCAGACATCCCTCCTATTGTCTGGAGGGAGGGGGTAGGTGAGAGGTTTTCACTCTGATAACAGCTCTGTTTTGGAGCTGATCTCCATGGCTGATTATCAGTAAGCCACAGAGACTTGCTCTGGGCTCTGCAGATTGAGGCTCTCTGCTTGCTCAGATCCTCCTTGACACCATTCCCCAAAAGCACATGAGAGATGGTCCAGCTCCAATCACTCTATAGAAGAGGGAAGGTCTCCTTGGGATTCTAGCTGGAGCCAGACTTGGAAGTTTGGAGCCTCCATAGGGCTCAGTATCACAGACACAAGAAAGAAATTGGTTCTCTATACAAGCACTGAGGCATATGAATTGTGCTCTCTAAAAGAGAGGTTTTTTAAAAGGTTTAAGAAAATCTATCAGTATAGATTTGGCTGGTAGATTCCATCTCCACTAATTTACCTGGAGAGGGGAATGGATTCTCCACCCAGCGATAAATACTGCAAAGACTTGTGTTTTTCCATTTTTGGATCTGGCTAGAAACCAGAAGTCTGTGTGAGGGGGAAACCATCTAACATTCATAATTTTGAAACACTCCTTCCCTTCCCATGATCATGCTTGATTCTTGAATACAGATGTTTCATAGTTTGGTGGAAATTAAAACATAGGTACAATCCCAAGCTAAACAGTGAATCAAGCTGTGTTTGTCTGCTCCTTCCCAGCATCACCCTCTTGGAATATCAAGACGGCCATGCTGTGAGCATTATCTTGTGTGTGTGTGTTAAGGTTGTTGCTACTGTGCACATCACATACCTAACACAAAACCACAGAAATGAAAAGGTAAGGCATCTACCAGGACACGCCTGTTCCTGCTCCCATCAGAGAGGCACATCTCATTGCTAGAACAACCACTATATATCAGACCACAACCATAACTCTGTCCCAGTTGCGATGACAGCCTTCCAGCACTCCCTTCCCCAGACTCCCCACTACCATAAACAGCCAGCTCGCTCTCTCTCTCTCTCTCTCACACACACACACACGTATGTACGTACGTATGTACGTGTTTGGGGAAGAAAGAGCTGGATGGCAATTTCTACGTTCTTCTCATGGCAGTAGATGGGCTTAGTGTATTTTGCCCCTCTCGGCAGAGAGCTAGTCTTCAGCTCTATACACCTGCCAGGCTAGAAGATTTAGTTGGATGGAACTCTGCTCACCAGCCTAAGGGAGACGAGGAAAGCCCAGCTCTGGTCAGCTTCATTTAAATGAATTATAATATTGCTTACCCATAATTCCATCTCCTGAGTTTGGCTGGAATGCCTTTATGCTTTGATTGTAGGAGTGAGAATAGATTATTCTTATTCCTGTGCTCTTGGAAGGGCATAACATTTCTGGAGGACCTGGAAAGAGTGAGCCACCTTGACTTCATGGGAAGTGAACTAAGGTTTGGTAACAAAACTCAGGCTTATCAGGGAGGAGGGCTGTGTCCTAAAGGTCAGGAGCCAGAGTCCTAGTTTGCTCTGAGCTGACTTTGCAGTGAGACCCAGCCAGACAAATGGCTGTGGTGCAGAGCTGACTTTGCAGCAAGGCCCGACTGGAGCAGTAACAACAATGACACAAAGATGTAGGCGCAGCAACCTGACAGACAGCAACAATGCTGAGCTGACTTCACAGTGCCTCAGCCCACCAGGCTGGTGAAAGCAGGGCTGATATTACAGCACTGGACCAGGACCTGATAGAGTGGTTCTCTGGACTGGAACAGAGGTGGCGTTGAGTTGTCCCTTGGTGCCCCTTGCCTATCACTAACTGGACTCAGGATGGGGGTTTCAGGCGGTTGGGGTGGGACTACGAGTTCTGGACCTCCAGATATCAGACAATTATTATTAGAACTGTGGGGTGCCCACACTCCTGATGCTCTGATTTGGGTGGCTCTGTTTCATTTATGTAAATATATAGAGAGTTTTCACGTATCTAGTGACGGCTTGTCCCCTCTTCCCCCAGACCCTTGTGGTTCCATGTTCCCAAAGAAATCTGAGGGCTTACGCATAGGGAAGGGGTGCCTGCAAAGGAGACCAGGGACGTTACATTTTAATTTCCCAGAGCAAGTAATAGAGCTACGACTCTGACTCAGGCCTCGAGGCTAAGCTTTATGCATTCTTAGGAAAGGCCTTCTAGACAGATTGAACCCAGTCCTACAGGCCTAGCAGAGCAACTTCAAACCTTAAACAGCAGCAAAGAAATTTATAATTGACCCCACAGTCGATTATTGTCGACAGTTGGTTATGCTAACACTCATCTTGCCAGGAGTTGAGGATAAAGAGTGTTTATTTCACAAATCTGCTTTGTTCAGGCTCAATCCAACTCCCATTTCTGTGGCTTCCAAACGCCAGCTGTTTTCTGTTACCTTTTACTTTTCTGTATGTCTTGGCCTAGAATTTGTATCCCACTGAGCATATGGAAAGAATCGTTTGCTTATATGACTAATGCAATTATGAGCTGAGGCTTAAAGTGCCGTCAGTTTACAGCAAGTTAATTGTTGGTATTAAGCAAGCTAGCATCAGTCTGTCTCAAAGTCTAAAGAGGAAGCTAAAATAAATTAACATCATCCATTTGCTGCCATTTGCAATTCCGACGTCAGTTAGAGGTTGAACTCTGTACCCGTTAGAACAATCTTAAATGAGCAGACATAAGGAGAGAAACCACTTCCTCGTAGGATTACCTGAGAGCAGCCTCAAAAATGAAAGGCTACGTATCTCTCGCCCTTCTGCTTAGCTTTGCTTCCTGTGCCAAGTCAGGTAAGAAACGCTATCTTCTATTCTGGGACTATTAAATAACAACCCAATTCATCTACACAGGGAATGGATAACATTTTCCTAGTGGTGCATTTACTAAGATGGTTCCTAAAATAATGCAATATTCAGCAGAAGAATGGTTACATTTTAGCGCTTCTAGTTTCTGATTAATTAAGGGGTGGAAAAATTTAACTGAAACCAAGTTTTACCCATTCACAGACCCAGACAAAAACATTGTTGTTTGTGATTAAATTAATTTAGTGCATCAATCTGTTTGTATGACCTATGTACTGGAGCACAGAGATTAACCCTTCATTAGAAAAGATAAGAAGCAGGGCTATTTTCATTAGTAAATAAGTAACTATTCAACTTCAGCTCCAGGAGAACGGAGTGCTGTAGGTGTCCCTTATTTCAGCAAAACACTTAAACCCTGAAAGAATAATCTTCACAAAAAACAGCTCCACGCCATCTGATTCACCCAGGATTTGATCCTGCCCCATTGAAGTCAATGGGAGTTTTCCGTTGAGTTTGAAGGCTTGGGATTGGGTACACAATAAATGATAAGGGGCCAGGGATATGTATCTGATATCCAGGGTTACATCTAATTAAGTATCAAATCAACAAAAGCCAGGAATCTGCAAAGTGAAAGCTGAGAGTCAATCTTTAACTTACTTTATTTGACTGGAGCATTGCCACTGATATAAACATGAGACAGAGGATCAGCCTTAACTCCTTCCTTCCTGATTTTTCTTTTAATGTAGGAGAAAAGGGAGGGGTGGGAAAGAGCAGGTGCTTGGATGGCAGCTGTCTGAAGGTCTTCACTGCTTTAGAGCAATGTGAGAGGAGGACACAATCTCAGTGACTATGGTGATACACACACAATGCATTAGATAAACCAGTCATTGTGACACATTCATTTCTTCCAATGCCATCACAAATTGCTTTGAGATCTGCTGATGAAAAGTGCTGCATAAGAGCTAGGTGGTATTATTATAATTTCCAGTTGCACTCACAATGTATTAGGCACTGTACGAACATGAATAGCGAACAGTCCAATGACCTATAAATATATATTATAAGCATGGAGACATGGGAACTGCTGTGCTTGTTCCCAAATCTTTAATTTTTAAATGAAAATCCTTTTGAGTTGTTTCAGGGCAGCAATACCTCATGCATAGGCGCCATCTTTATGAGTTGCCAGGGGGTGCTCAATCCCTGCTCTGCCCCAGGCCCTGCCCCCACTCCCCCCCTTCCCCCAAGTCCCCACCCCAGCCCTGCCTCTTCCCACCCCCATTCCGCCCCCTGCCCCATTCCAACCCCTCCCCCGAGCATGCCCTGCCCTCACTCCTCCTCCGCCCAAGCACCTCCTGCATGCCGCTGAACAGCTGAGTCACAGCGGACAGGAGGCAGTAGGAGGGACGAGGAGGAGCTGATTGGCAAGCATGCAGGGAAGGCAGTGGGAAGCTGTTGTCTGTTCTGAACCAGTTCTGTGGCTAAATGCATAATTTCAGTCTCCATGGGTGTCCATTTGGCATTGTGCTTGAGCCTTAAATTTACCTTTAAATATGTAAAACCTCCTCCACCCTTGTGGAGTCTAGACGAGGTTTAATGGAAATCTTTGTCTGCAGTAGCTGGTGCTGATAACACAGGGGTATGGCCTTCCTTCAGGTTAAGGTTAATACATATGTAAGTGAATCCTGTAGAGAATGCAAAGCACCTGTTCTTTGGGAATTAAGCCAACAAACCTCAAATCTAATCTAATTCTGTTGCTTTTGAAATCAGATGGCTGCTCATTAAAATAAGGGACTGAAACTCACTAGTGCGGGCTATCTTGTTGACAAAACCTATATTAAGCCTCCTGTAGCAGGTTTCAATCAGAGGCCAACAGGACCAATGGGCCAACCATGGCTCATCAATTCCCTGGTGCCCCAGAGCTCTCCCAGACAGACAGGGGAGAGGGAGAAGAGGGGTAAGTAGGGGGACCCAGGGCCCAAAGGGGAGAGACAAGGAATGTCTCAGTCACCTCTTCCTGGTGCACTGACCAGCCTTCCCAGGACCACTTCCTACCTCCCTCTTCAGTTTGGGGCGTGGTCACCGCCTGCTTTCTCTCCAGTTGGAATTCCAAAACAGTCCCAGCAGCTCCCCCACCATGTCTCTTCCTAATTTCCAGGCAGAGAGTGCGGGAGGGAAAAGGGGCAGGTCCCTCTCCTCCCCTCTCAGTTGAGTCTTACCCACGGTCCAGACTCCTCTCCTGTGGATCGCTTGTCCCCAGAAGCTGCAAACTGGCTTCATTTCTAGCCTGCAATTGCTGCTAGGATGTACTCAGCTTCTGAAAGGATCCCAGTCCAGGGCTTCTTTGGAGCAGGCATAGTGGTCTCCTGTATCCCAGATGGGACCCCACACTAGCTCACTTTCACTGGCAACCTACGTGCATGGCTTTGAAATCAGAACATTGGGGTGAAAGTGAGTGTGGATACTACAGTGACTAATGGGGAACAATTTTCACCAGAATCTGTTGAATTGAGATCAGAATCTGGGCCTATGTCAGTATAATATATTTACCAGCATGCCTATTAAGATTTATTTTCCTTTTTTCTAGACCCAAACAATACCACATTTTCATCAAATTCAACAGTTAAGGATACCTAAAAGGGCTGAAATTCTCTAGTGAAATTCTACTCCAAAACCTGACTGTACAAATAGCATAATAGGGTACCATGTTTATTGTAACTCAGTGGCTCCTTACCAAATGTGGTCAGTTTACAACTGAAAACTCCCATTCCCAACTCAGCACTGCAAACTCACGTCTGGGTCTGAAAAAACAATAAGGTTGTTTGTTTGTTTAAGGGTTGTTTTGCTCACACAAGGCAGAGCTGCACAGATAAAACTAAAGTCAAGTTTTGCCCCTGCAACAGGAACATACAGCAGACTTCCAACAGGAACTACTGATTTAGGTGTTTCATGGTTTGCTGTCCAGAGACACAGGAGCTGCTGAGTGAAAAGGTGTTATTATTCATTAGTCACTTTTCAGACCGGGACCATTTTTTAAATAAAATGTACTATGGGCCTGATCCCACTGAAGTCAAGGAGAGTTTTGCTGGTGGCTTCAGCAGGAACAGGATAAGACCTAAGTCAATCTTCCTCAAATTCAAACGGGAACTAGAATATGATTTTTTAAAATATGTGTTAATCTGTAGTTTACATGTTAGCATTTGTAATGTTAATCAAGTATGGGGACAAGTTCATTCCATGGTAATTTCAAAAGAAAAGCCTGTTCTTACAGAAGTTTTGTCCTTAGCTTCAATCTGGACTGAGTCTGTCCCTTGCTCAATATATCTTTACCAGATTGTTGTAGTGAGGTTTCCATTTTAGGAGTTCTTTACTCTTTTATAAAACTTCTTTCTACCCACACCTTCCCCAGCTCCAAGAGTTAAGCAGAAGAAATGGAAGGCAATGGTGCTGATAGTACCATATTTTCTTCCCACACGATATCTGGTAATTTAGAGAACTCTGTTATTTCAATCTACAGTTACATTTACTTTAGATGTTAACACTGACAACAATCTCAGGATTTGTTCCCACTGATGTCCCCTAGTGGTTTCAATAAATATATATTATTGCAACTTGTGATAACGTTTAATTTACATGTTAATATTTGGGACATTAACATAACAAATGGACAAGAACATCACATCTCCCATTTTCAAGGAAATTTACTTTCATGAGCTATTTATCTGAGTTAGGATCAGAAAAGCAGGAGGAATGGAATTAACTGATTAGTAGGCTTGGAAGGATTACATTTTTATTGCTAAATGTTGGTAAACCTCAATTTCACCGTAAATAGACAAACCAGAAAAAATATTTCCTTTTATACTAGTTGAAATGTACAGATAAGCAAAGAAAAAAAATGCTACTTGAGACCTTCTTAGAGTTTAATATAAGAATATTTACTTCATATATTTTGATACATAATGATAACAGTGTGTTTTTATGGTTTATAAAACTTTTACTTATTTAATCTTACCACCTGCTGTCATTAAAAGCTTTCTTGACACCAGCCCCATTACTTCCCCGACCTGTGAAAACTTAAATGATCCAAAATGTTAAAAAGCTTAAAAATAAACATCTATATTATATATCAAAATTATTTTTAAAAAATTGAATTCTGCCACCCCTATTGATAAGTATTAAAATCACCTGTCACAAATATTTTTCTATTGAAAAAGTGTAAATAATGCCAAAGATGATTTAATTGTGTAGAACCAACAGACCAGCTGATAATATTAAAGAGATACTGTCAATTTGAAATTTAGTTAATTTATAAAATACATTTAAAGGAAGCTTCAGGTCCCAGAATCCTTCCCTGGAGTCCTTGTCCAATCACCTCCCCAGGCCTCTGGCTCTTTGTCCCAGTCTTTTTATCCAGCCAGTCCCATTTCTGATCCCAGTCCCTGGCTCCTGTCCACAAGAATTCAGCCTGAGGCAGTTACCCAGCATGGAAAATTTCAGCCCAAACAGTTGAAGTTTGGCAAAGTTACAAGCAGTTGAAAACAAGGTCCTATAATAGAAGTGTTTAGCAACTTTAATCAGAAGAGGTGCTACCTGCCCTGCCTATACTACGAGGCTTAAAGGAAGGAGGAACAAATATGATGCTGTAGAAAAATAATTATTGATAATAAATAACACTTAATCTGTTGGTAACATTGATTTATCTAATTATTTGTGTTGTGGTAGACTTTGGAGCCCCTATCATGGACCATGATCCTACAGTGCTAGGCACTGTACGGATGGAACAAAAAGACCATCCGAGCCCCAATTAACTTACAACCCCAAAGGTGAAGATCCAGCAAATAGCTGGTGAACTTGTCCTATTGCTCAGAAGTTAAAATTCCCACAGGTGATTTTTCCCTGAGTAAGGATCAGACCTGAGGGCTATATATAAATTATGTTTTAATCAGATTGTCAAGTTGGATTTTGAAATTGAGGAGGCACAGTAGAGATTGCTCACTCTGGGGCTTACAAGCACAAATATGATGTAGACAAATAGTAATGATTAATAAATAATATATTTATTGGTTGTATTCATAAAATTGTGGAGTAGCTGGTGAATTTCACCCTTGGTTCTGAAGGTCCCAAGTGGTGACCCCACGGATACCCCCTAAGGATTTAGATAAATTTGTCCTACCAATGCTTGTTACCTTTTGGAGCCTGAGCATAATAATTGGGCTAGAACATCACATCTCCCAATTTCTAGGAAGTTAAAACTCCCATGCGCTACTTGCCCGAGTTATGATCAGAGCCGATGTCCGCTGTTATAGTGGTGTGAATATTTGTTTTCTTTAGTTCATCAGCTGCAACTCCAAGGAGGCTGCTGCTGAAGGCATGGCGCTAACAATCCCAGGGTTTGTTCCTCTGATGCCCCCTGGTGGTTTCAATAAATATATCTTATCCTAATATTCTAGTGATGTGGATATTTGTTTTCATTTGTTCATCAACTGCAACTCCTACAGCTGCAGCAGGTTGGTTTATGTAGTGTTATTTTGTCAAACAAAATTTGCAGAATTTTTAAATATTGTGCACAGAATTTTTAATTTTTGGGTGCAGAATTTTTCAATTTTTAGTGCAGAATGCCCCCAGGAGTATAACCTGATAACATTCAGTGTATATGTTAATATTTGGGACATTACCATAACAAACGGTCAAGAACAGCACATCTTCCTTTTGCAAGGAAGTTAAAACCTTCATGTCAGTTCTCTGAGTTAGGGTCAGGTATGATGTCCATATATATTTACTAGGATGTCATAGTGTGGTTTGCATTTAAAGATTTGTTTCTTATTTTACGGAAAGTAGCACTACCCAGACACCCATAAATATGGCAGGTAAGCGGGAGGAGTCAAACTGATTGATAAGTATGAATCTTAAAATCACAATCAATAATATTTTGCTACAGAAAAGAACTGTAAAATACAACTGAGAATGATGATGATTTAATTGTGAAGACTCAAAGGAGTAGCTGACGTCAATTTCAAATTTAGTCAGTTTATAAAAGGTGTTTAAAGGAAGCTTTCAGGTCCTCCGTTTTCGTCACCGCCTAGGGAGTGGGAGACCCATACAAAGAATGGGGGTGGAACTGATTGTCTGACTCTACAGGGGAACCATTGCCACAGGCTCGGCACAAAGTGTTATCAACTGCCCAAAGTAAAGAAACTGACTACATAGAGAAAAATAGTTTTTTCCCCTCAAATCTCTCTGTCAAAGCCATTTTGCAAATAAAGCATGTAACAAGTTTTTTTGGATAGAAGCAGGTTTTAAGTAGATGGAAGTTCTTTTTAAAAATCCAGAGTTTTATTTAAACATGTGGCGCTAGAAAACTTGGGTGTTGAAAAATAATTGTAAATAACACGTGCAACTACTGATGATATAATGGTGAATAGCCAGGACATTTGCTGGTGATATCAAAGAGCACATTACTCACTTGAAATCCAGTCAATTAAAAACATGACTTTACAGTAATTTCAGAACCTATATAAGTCCCTGTGCCACCTGGCCAAATTCTGTGGAGTTAAAATTGTTTCCTGTGTTTTCCTCACTCTGTAGTAGTGTGTGACCCATATAAACAAAAGAAGAAACCGATTATGCAGGGGAAATAGTGAAACTGACTATACACATGGTGCTGTCAAATATATGGAGTAAATAAACTAAACAGAGAAAACATTTTCCCTGCACTAGTCTTTCAGTTGTAGCCATTTTGTAACGATAGCAGGTAACATGTATGTCAGCCATGAGCAAGATTTTTAGGCTGGTGGAGGTTCCTTTAAAAGTACTGATATGTATTTCCATATGTGTCTGTTGGTAGGGTTCCTGGGTCAGTATATGTTTACTGGACTGCGGTTGTGAGGTTTCTGTTAAAAGGTAACAGAAATCATATATAGGAGGTATCTCCCCCACACCTTCTGCAGTTGCAAGAGCTAAGCAGAAGGAATAAAAATGTCAAAGGCATAAAAACACCAGGCACAAATATAGTTCTGTGGAAAAGAATTATTAGTCTAAATAATAGTGATAATATCACTGTGGTAAGTCAACACAGTACCTGGTGAATTTCGTCTTTGGTGCTATAGGAGCAGGACTTTGTTCCGGCTGAATCTCCCTTGTGGTTTTGATAAACAAGCTGTCCACAAACCTGGTCACGGGTACTTTAAATGTTTACACTTGAAACATAAGCATAACAAATAGACAAGAACATCCCATCTCTCACTTTGTAGGGAGTTCTAACTCCCATGGGCTACTCACCTGGAATATTACGTATGTAAAAATCAGAGCTGATCTCCAGAGATGTCATGTAGTTAGCTCTTTGGTAGGAGGTTCTGCTGCAGCTTTCACAGCCATGTCAGGTAAGCAGAAGGAATAGGAGTGGAGTGGGGATGAGTACACCAGATGTTTCAAAGCATCAGGCACAGCTATGACGCTGAAGAAAAATCATTATTACTGAGCAACTCATCGTGGGGCACTAGCATGATCTGCAAGGAGGCTACGGCCCTTTGGGGTCTGCCAACCTGCTGCAGCTGCTGCTGAACACATGGCACTGACAATCCTAGGGTTTGTTTCCTCTGATGCCCCTTAGTGCTTTCAATGAATATATCTTATCCTAACGTTACTCCTGGGGGAATTCTGTGCCACTGCGCAATGCAGAATTTTGCAGAAATTAACGTGCGCACAGAATTTCCTTTCCCCTACAGAAATGGACTTCAATGCTACTAGCTGCCACTAGGGGCTACCGAACCTGGCAGAGCCCAGCTCGCACATAGAAGACTATGCTGAGGTGAGGGGAAGGGAACTAGAGAGTTCCTGGCAGCTGCAGTTCTGAGCATGCCCTGAGGGAAGGAGAGGGCAGTGCACAAAAAAATCAGTCCAAACCTGGGACCAAGCATCAGGCTGTTTCTCCCTCTGGATCCCTGGGCTCTGGGGGAGGAAAGGTGCAGATGTCTGGGGTGGGTGAGGGGTGGTCATGGCTGGGCTCGGGAGTGGTAGTGAAGGGAGCGGAGAAACAGAAACTGGGTTGTCAGATGGTTTCTTTAACTCTCTGCTCCTGGGGGAATTAATGTGTGTGTCTGTATTGTTACAGACATACTTGCTGGCAGGTATTTTGAAATTAATTACCAAAATAATTGAAACTGGTGTGATTGTGTAGCATTATGTTGACAAACAAAACTTGCAGAATTTTTAATATTGTGCACAGAATTTTTAATTTTTGGGTGCAGAATTTTTGATTTTTAGTGCAGAATGCCCCCAGGAGTATAATATGAGAACATTCAATGTATATGTTAATATTTGGGACATTACCATAACAAACGGTCAAGAACAGCACATCTTCCATTTGCAAGGAAGTTAAAACCTTCATGTCAGTTCTCTGAGTTAGGGTCAGGTCTGATGTCTATATATATTTACCAGGATGTCATAGTGTGGTTTGCATTTAAAGGTTTGTTTCTTATTTTACAGTAAGTATCACTACGCAGACACCCATAATTATGGCAGGTAAGCAGGAGGAATCAAACTGATTGTTAAGTATGAATCTTAAAATCACAATCAAAAATATTTTGCTACAGAAAAGAATTGTAAAATATAACTGAGAATGATGATGATTTAATTGTGAAGACTCAAAGGAGTAGCTGACGTCAATTTCAAATTTAGTCACGTCAGGTCTAATGTCTATATATATTTACTAGGATGCCATAGTGTGGCTTGCATTTAAAGATTTGTTTCTTATTTTACAGAAAGTACCACTACCCAGGGACCCACCACTACCCAGGCACCCATAACTACGACAGGTAAGCGGGAGGAATGGAGCTGATTGATAAGTATATATCTTAAAATCATAATCAAAAATATTTTGCTACAGAAAAGAATTGTAAAATATAACTGAGAATGATGATGATTTAATTGTGAAGACTCAACGGAGTAGCTGATGTCAATTTCAAATTTAGTCAGGTCAGGTCTGATGTCTGTTTATATTTACTAGGATGCCATAGTGTGGCTTGCATTTAAAGATTTGTTTCTTATTTTACAGAAAGTACCACTACCCAGGGACCCGCCGCTACCCAGGCACCGACAGGTAAGCGGGAGGAATGGAGCTGATTGATAAGTATAAATCTTAAAATCATAATCAAAAATATTTTGCTACAGAAAAGAATTGTAAAATATAACTGATAAAGACGATGATTTAATTGTGAGGACCCAACAGAGTAGCTGATGTCAATTTCAAATTTAGTCAGGTCAAGTCTAACATCTATATATATTTACTAGGATGCCATAGTGTGGCTTGCATTTAAAGATTTGTTTCTTATTTTACAGAAAGTACCGCTACCCAGGGACCCACCACTACCCAGTCACCCATAACTACGACAGGTAAGCGGGAAGAATGGAGCTGCTTGATAAGTATAAATCTTAAAATCATAATCAAAAATATTTTGCTACAGAAAAGAATTGTAAAATATAACTGATAAAGACGATGATTTAATTGTGAGGACCCAACAGAGTAGCTGATGTCAATTTCAAATTTAGTCAGGTCAAGTCTAACATCTATATATATTTACTAGGATGCCATAGTGTGGCTTGCATTTAAAGATTTGTTTCTTATTTTACAGAAAGTACCGCTACCCAGGGACCCACCACTACCCAGTCACCCATAACTACGACAGGTAAGCGGGAAGAATGGAGCTGCTTGATAAGTATAAATCTTAAAATCATAATCAAAAATATTTTGCTACAGAAAAGAATTGTAAAATATAACTGATAAAGATGATGATTTAATTGTGAGGACCCAACAGAGTAGCTGATGTCAATTTCAAATTTAGTCAGGTCAAGTCTAACATCTATATATATTTACTAGGATGCCATAGTGTGGCTTGCATTTAAAGATTTGTTTCTTATTTTACAGAAAGTACCGCTACCCAGGGACCCACCACTACCCAGTCACCCATAACTACGACAGGTAAGCGGGAAGAATGGAGCTGCTTGATAAGTATAAATCTTAAAATCATAATCAAAAATATTTTGCTACAGAAAAGAATTGTAAAATATAACTGATAAAGACGATGATTTAATTGTGAGGACCCAACAGAGTAGCTGATGTCAATTTCAAATTTAGTCAGGTCAAGTCTAACATCTATATATATTTACTAGGATGCCATAGTGTGGCTTGCATTTAAAGATTTGTTTCTTATTTTACAGAAAGTACCGCTACCCAGGGACCCACCACTACCCAGTCACCCATAACTACGACAGGTAAGCGGGAAGAATGGAGCTGCTTGATAAGTATAAATCTTAAAATCATAATCAAAAATATTTTGCTACAGAAAAGAATTGTAAAATATAACTGATAAAGACGATGATTTAATTGTGAGGACCCAACAGAGTAGCTGATGTCAATTTCAAATTTAGTCAGGTCAAGTCTAACATCTATATATATTTACTAGGATGCCATAGTGTGGCTTGCATTTAAAGATTTGTTTCTTATTTTACAGAAAGTACCACTACCCAGGCACCCATAACTACGACAGGTAAGCGGGAGGAATGGAGCTGATTGATAAGTATATATCTTAAAATCATAATCAAAAATATTTTGCTACAGAAAAGAATTGTAAAATATAACTGATAAAGATGATGATTTAATTGTGAAGCTCAACGGAGTAGCTGACATCAATTTCAAATTTAGTCAGTTTCTAATGGGTGTTTAAAGGAAGCTTTCAAGTCCTCCATTTTCGTCACGTCTAGCAGTGGGACACCCATACAAAGAATGGGGGTGGAACTGATTGTCTGACTCTACAGGGGAACCATTGCCACAGGCTAGGCACAAAGTGTTACCAACTGCCCAAAGTAAAGAAACTGACTACACAGAGAAAAATAGGGCTTTTTCCTCTAATCCAGGGGTGGGCAAACTTTTTGGCCTGAGGGCCACATCGGGTTTCAGAAATGGTATGGAGGGCTGGTTAGGGGAGGCTGTGCCAGGCTGTGCCTCTGCTCCCCCTTGCTTCTCGCCCCTTGACGCCCCCCCCGGGGCTCCTGCCCCATCCAACCCCCCCTGTTCCCTGACGTCCCCACTCAGGACCCTTTCCCCCGCTTCCTGTCCCCGACCTCCCCTGGAATCCCTGCCCCTGACTGCCCCCCACCACCCCATCCACTGCCCCCTCCTTCCTGACTGCCCCCCAGAATCTCTGCCCCCCCAACACAGACTAATCACAAGGTGTTGTCAAATGAAAAAGGCAACAAACTGATTAAATAGAGGAAAAACAGTTTTTTCCTCCAATCTCTCTGTTATTGCCATTTTGCAGATGCAGCAGCGAATAAGTTTCCGGATAGAAGAGAGATTTTTAAGTAGATACAATTTCCTTTAAAAAATCAGTTTGATTTGGATGGGTAGTTGTAGAAAACTAGGTTGTTGAAAAATAATTATCTGAGGTTTGCATTGTAAGATGTTCATTCTTTTACAGGAGATACCTCTGCTACACAATCTGCATCTTCTCCAGGTAAGAGGTTGAATGGAATGGAAGTGACATCATACATACAAAAACTCTACACTCTAATTGCACAAAACCAAAAACTTCTGCCCCCCCCCCGGCTTCCCTGAGGCCACGCCCACACTGACTCCATCGCTCACTCTCCCCCACCCTGCCTAACTTTCATTGGGCTGGGGTAGGGGGCTGGGGTGCAGGAGGGGGTGCAGACTCCGGGAGGGGGCTCAGGGCTGGGACAGGGGGCTGGGGTACAGGCTCTGAGAGGGAGGGGTGCAGAAGGGGGTTCCAACCTTGGGCAGGGGCTTGGGGTGCGGGAGGGCATTCTGACCTGGGGCAGGCTCCAGCCAGGTGGCGCTTACCTTGGGCAGCTCCCAGTCAGTTCATAAAAGTTGTTTAAAAGAAGCTTCAGGTCCTCTCTTTCCATCACCCTCTAGCAATGGGACACCCATACATAGAATTGCCTGGCTCTACAGGGGAAACACTGACAGACTAGTCACAAAGTGTTGTCAAATGAAAAAGGAAACAAACTGACTAAAGAAAGAAAAACAGGTTTTTCCTCCAATCTCTCTCAGTTATTACCATCTTGTAGCTACTGCAGCTAACAAGTTTATGATGTGGCCCTCTTGTGCATATGCATTACAATACAGTCTTTGTTACATGATCACTAATACTTTTTCCACAAGACCCTGGCCTCACATTCCCAGACCAGGTCCATCACATGCACTTAGTATCAAGACTGTGTTGTGAATGGGGCTGTTGGCTGTGGGACCCACATTTGTTTACAGGCCTCTTTGGGCCTCATTAGAAAGGATGATCTTGTCGTTAAAATGGTTGAATTAGCCTCCTGGAGAATCGAATTCTATCCCTGCCTCTGCCACAGAGTTCTAGGGTGATGCTGGTCAAGTCCCTTAAACCACATTTTTTTACTGGTGTCTGCTAACTGTGTGTGCTGTATTTTATAGGTCGCATTTGCAGAAATGCACTCACCTGCTCATAAAATGGCAACTGAAGTGAATGGGAGCTGTGCATTGAGAATATCGAGCGGTATAAAACGGCCAAGCACTCTGAAATGATGTTGGAGGATGTTGTGAAGGCCAAGACTGTAACAGGGTTAAAAAAAGAACTCGATGAATTCATGGAGGAGAGGTCCATCAATGGCTATTAGCCAAGATGGGCAGGGATAGTGTCCCTAGCCTCAGTTTGCCAGAAGCTGAGAATGAGCAACGGGGGATGGATCACTTGGTGATTACCTGTTCTGTTCATTCCCTTTGGGGCACATGGCATTGGCCACTGTCGGAAGACAGGATATTGGGCTAGATGGACCTTTGGTCTGACCCAGTATGGCCGTCCTTATGCTCTTATGTTCTTATGAAAAATCAGGCCCTTAGTGTCTGAAGCTGAGCACTCAACATTAGTGGACACTTTTGGCCTTAATCTCCTTGTGCCTCAGTTCCTCATTGGTAAAATGGGATAATAATACGTCCCTACTCTGCAGGAGTGATGGAAGGTAAGGTCTTTAGAGTTTATGAAGCACTCAGATATAATAGTGATGAGTGCCATAGAGATGCCCATGAGGAAATTAATAATTCTATATTCAGAGCAGGGAATGAATATTGTGCAGGAAATATCACCTGGGCCACACTCTCAGTGTAAAAAGTAATAGTAACAGTCATCTGTGCAGTGAGCACCATTCATCCTGTGCACTGAGTGAGGCAGGGGTCTTGTGGAAAAAATAGTATGTGATCATGCAATTAAAAACTGTATTGTAATGCATATGCACTAAGGGGCTAAATTAAGGTTGCACAGGCAACCTTAATTGTGGAATTTCCTATCTTTTCAGTGCGCGCGTGCACTCACACACACACACACACAGAGTAAAAGCTGTTTTATCCAGCACTTCACCAACTGGAAAGCTCTATTAACTGGCATTTCTGATCTTCATTGAAAGTCCGGTTTATAGTCGGGTTGGCGCGGGGCTGGCAGGGGTTTGGGGCATGAGCGGGGTGTGGTGTGCAGGCTGTGGGAGGAGTTTGGGTGGAGGAGGGAGCTTGGGGCACAGGAGCGGGTGCGGGGTGCCAGATGCGGGAGACACTCACTGCCTCCACCTGCAGCTCCCATTGGCTGCAGTTCCCGGCTCATGGAAGCTGGGGACCAGTGCTCGGGGTGGGAGAGGGGAAGTGCGCAGAGCTGCTTGCCAGGCCTCCACCTAGGAGCAGCTGGGACAGGTTGCTTAGAGTCCTTTTTGGCCTTGTTTGCTTAGAGGAAACTTAACAGTTTAGAATTGATTGCATATCATGATTCATCTGCAGCCTTACTGTTGCATACTGGGCCAGATCCTCAGATGGTGTAAACAGGCATAGCTCCATGGAAGTCAATGGAGTAACACCAACTCATACCAGCTGAGGATTTGGCCTACTGTCATAAGGCATGTTTAAGTGTGTGACTCTTCTCGAGGCATGACTAGTTTAACAGGAGGAAAACGAAAAAGCTTCCATCCTCCTGGTCTAGTGCATTGTTCAGCTGTGTCAATATCTTTCCTCTTAGAAGCACCTCTGGGCTGTGCAAATAAACCGTGTGGTGGCAATGCTAAGTGCATTAACCTATATCAAGGTTATATGTGCCAGTGCCCATATGGATACTACTATAGCACATCAAGATGTCAGGAAGGTGAGTTGGGTGCTGGTGATCTGTTTTCTTAATCCACTACACAGACAATGGTGCATTTTCTATACTCATTCTAATTTTCTCAGTGAACATATACATGGTCTGGGCAAGTCTCCTCCACTCTGACCCACACCGAGTAGCACTTTACTCTGCAAATAGTTCCCATTGGGTTGACCTGTTTTACCTCCTGAAGCATTATTGAAACAAAAGGATTTAACCCACTAGAAAAAACTGCACTCCCACAAGGCTAAGGGTGTGAATTAAATTGCATGAGAAGCAGACGGAAACCCCGGGGTAAGCGAAAGCTAATGTTTATGGCCAAGACTAAAAAAGCAGGTGCCAAAAATAGGCTTCTAAAAAAATGGCCTTATTTTCCAAACTGGTGAGCACCCACCCAAGTCCTGTTGAAGTGGGACTGCATAGGAGCTGCTGGGTGCTCAGCATTTGGGGAAATTAGGCCTCTTACTTAGGTGCCCAAAGGCTAGCTTTTCAAAGTTATTTAGGCACCTAGAGATGCAGATTGGCACCAAGCTGGATTTTCTGAAGTGCCTAAGCAGGTTAGGCACCTAACACCCATGATTTCAATCATTAGACACCTTTGGGCACCCCTAGACCTTTGAAAATCTGCCCCAAAATCCATATGCCATAGAATCATAGGACTGGAGGGGACCTCAAGAGGTCATCTAATCCAGTCCCCTGCACTCATGGCAGGACTAAGTATTAGACAGTCCCTGACAGGTGTTTGTCTAACCTGCTCTTAAAAAATTTCCAATGATGGAGATTCCACAACCTCCCCTGGCAATTTATTCCAGTGCTTACCCACCCTGACAGTTGGAAAGTTTTTCCTAATGTCCAAACTAAGCCACCCCTGCTGCAAATTAAGCCCATTGCTTCTTGTCCTATCCGCTGAGGATAAGATTAATTTTTCTTCCTCCTCCTTGTAACAACTTTTTATGTACTTGAAAAATGTCCCCTGTGAGTCTTCTGTTCCCTCTCCATCCTCTCTTCTCCAGATTAAACAAACCCAGTTTTTTTCAATCTTCCCTCATAGGTCATGTTTTCTAGACCTTTAATCATTTTTGTTACTCTTCTCTGGACTTTCTCCGGTTTGTCCACATCTTTCCTGAAATGTGGTGCCCAGAACTGGACACAATACTCCAGTTGAGAAGTAATCAGTGCGGAGTAGAGTAGAAGAATTACTTCTCATGTCTTGCTTACAACACTCCTGCTAATACATCCCAGAATGATGTTTGCTTTTTTGGCAACAGTGTCACACTGTTCACTCATATTTAGCTTTTGATCCACTATCCAGATCATTTTGCATTTTAATCCTATCCTCCAAAGCACTTTGAACCCCTCCCAGCTTGGTATCCTCTGCAAACTTTATAAGTGTACTCTGTGTGCCATTATCTAAATCCAGATGAAGATATTGAATAGAACCAGACCCAGAACTGATCCCTGGGGACCCCATGTTGACATCTGCGCACCCATTCATGAAAATCTTGGCTTATGCCATTAAATGCGGTAATACTTGGACATATCCTGTTTTTGTTTGTGTTGAGCCACACTCATAGTTTAACATTATTTTAGTAGAAGAACCACGTCAGTTTCTCTTCCTTCCGTGCCCACTGATAGCAGGGTTTAACCCTTTTTTGATAAGGGTTGGTTAAGTGAATACTTATCCCTTCCTGTCTCCTCCAATAGAAGAAAATTAGCAAATATAGATCTTATGCAGAGTTGCTTCTCATCTCTAAAACATGGATAACCCAACATTGTAACCCTGTTTATTACAAATGCAGTGTAATGAATTAATGTCTCTGCTTTATTTTTAGGAAAAGTATTCCCTGGACAGTTGACACTGAAAACACCGTATACCGACAGCATGGCACATGAAAACTCTCCAGAGTATAAGCAATTATACAAAAATGTCACAGATTTTGTGAGTCATTTAAAAAAATTCTTCCATATATATTTAATCTTGAGATCTGCTTCCTGGAATGAGATATGTGCAGGAAGATATGGGGCCCCAAAGTGGTGTCTTGGTCAGCATAACTTACACCTTCTTCAACCTCCGTCACGGGATATGCTACATCAGTCTAGACTCCTTTACATGACAGCCAAATTCTACCCTCAGAGATGTACACACATCATTCCTGCTGAAGTCAGTGGAAGTTGCATGTATGTGTCGGAGATCAGAATTTGCCCCTAATTTGCTTACTTGCTTCCCTTATTAAAAAGTCCCATAGAATGTAAAACAAACAGACCCTATGACAGGGTGCTATCTCTTTAAGAGAAAGGCAGGCTGGATACCCTCTCCAAGGTATTAAAGAAGAGTTGGTGCAGGGAATGCAGTCTGGGGGCAGGCTGTGGTGAAGACAGGGCCTAGAGGCGGATAAGAAACTGAGTTTGACAGTACAGGTTGTGCCTGAAGTATTGTTCTCTTTCTTTCATAGATAAGAAACCAAAATTTGGCCTTATATACTAGAGCTGGTCAACAAATGGGATTTCTGTCACACAGGAAATTCCAAGTGTGCAAGATTTTGTTTTGTTCCAAATTGGATCAAAACGTCGAACTTCAGAATTTCCCATGAAAGGGAAAATTCCCATTTGGGAACATATCAATGCTGCTGGCACCTGTCCCAGGTCTCCCTGTCCCCTTGCACTGCTTCTTCCTCCCGGCTGACTTAAGATGGCAGGGAGGTGGATGGAGAAACCCCCAAACTGGCGACAGGAGGAAGTCTGAGGTGGAGAGGGAACCCCCCCCCAGGCTGATAGAAGGGAAAACTCCATCACCATCTCCACTTTTTCCATTGCAGCTTTCATAGAAATCAACATGTTCCTGCAAAACATTTAAATTTTTTGACAAAACAGCATTTTCTGCTGGAAAACTGTTCAACTGGAAATTTGCTGACCAGCTTCTGTTGTGTGCCTTGAATCTGTACAGTTTTAAAGCTCTGGGCACCTATGTCCTAAGGCTGCTGTATCTGCACCCTTTTTTAAATTCAAATGTTTCTACAAGGAGGGTGGACGAATACATATTTATTTTCTTATTACAAATTCTGTACTTTTTGTAGGCCTCATGCCTTGATCTGCTCAGAGCTCCGGTACGAAACTGCAGAAAAACCTGAGTGTCTCTGGATTAAGTTTAGAAGTGTGTGCAACAAGAGTGATGTAGTGGTGGGAGTCTGCTATAGACCACCGGACCAGGGGGATGAGGTAGATGAGGCTTTCTTCCGGCAGCTCACGGAAGCTACTAGATCGCATGCCCTGATTCTCATGGGTGACTTTAATTTTCCTGATATCTGCTGGGAGAGCAATACAGCGGTGCATAGACAATCCAGGAAGTTTTTGGAAAGCGTAGGGGACAATTTCCTGGCGCAAGTGCTAGAGGAGCCAACTAGGGGGGGCGCTTTTCTTGACCTGCTGCTCACAAACCGGGTAGAATTAGTGGGGGAAGCAAAAGTGGATGGGAATCTGGGAGGCAGTGACCATGAGTTGGTTGAGTTCAGGATCCTGACGCAGGGAAGAAAGGTAAGCAGCAGGATACGAACCCTGGACTTCAGGAAAGCAGACTTCGACTCCCTCAGGGAACGGATGGCCAGGATCCCCTGGGGGACTAACTTGAAGGGGAAAGGAGTCCAGGAGAGCTGGCTGCATTTCAAGGAATCCCTGTTGAGGTTACAGGGACAAACCATCCCGATGAGTCGAAAGAATAGTAAATATGGCAGGCGACCAGCTTGGCTTAATGGTGAAATCCTAGCGGATCTTAAACATAAAAAAGAAGCTTACAAGAAGTGGAAGGTTGGACATATGACCAGGGAAGAGTATAAAAATATTGCTCGGGCATGTAGGAATGATATCAGGAGGGCCAAATCGCACGTGGAGCTGCAGCTAGCAAGAGATGTCAAGAGTAACAAGAAGGGTTTCTTCAGGTATGTTGGCAACAAGAAGAAAGCCAAGGAAAGTGTGGGCCCCTTACTGAATGAGGGAGGCAACCTAGTGACAGAGGATGTGGAAAAAGCTAATGTACTCAATGCTTTTTTTGCCTCTGTTTTCACTAACAAGGTCAGCTCCCAGACTGCTGCGCTGGGCATCGCAAAATGGGGAAGAGATGGCCAGCCCTCTGTGGAGATAGAGGTGGTTAGGGACTATTTAGAAAAGCTGGACGTGCACAAGTCCATGGGGCCGGACGAGTTGCATCCGAGAGTGCTGAAGGAATTGGCGGCTGTGATTGCAGAGCCATTGGCCATTATCTTTGAAAACTCGTGGCGAACGGGGGAAGTCCCGGATGACTGGAAAAAGGCTAATGTAGTGCCAATCTTTAAAAAAGGGAAGAAGGAGGATCCTGGGAACTACAGGCCAGTCAGCCTCACCTCAGTCCCTGGAAAAATCATGGAGCAGGTCCTCAAAGAATCAATCCTGAAGCACTTGCATGAGAGGAAAGTGATCAGGAAGAGCCAGCATGGATTCACCAAGGGAAGGTCATGCCTGACTAATCTAATCGCCTTTTATGATGAGATTACTGGTTCTGTGGATGAAGGGAAAGCAGTGGATGTGTTGTTTCTTGACTTTAGCAAAGCTTTTGACACGGTCTCCCACAGTATTCTTGTCAGCAAGTTAAGGAAGTATGGGCTGGAAGAATGCACTATAAGGTGGGTAGAAAGCTGGCTAGATTGTCGGGCTCAACGGGTAGTTATCAATGGCTCCATGTCTAGTTGGCAGCCGGTATCAAGTGGAGTGCCCCAAGGGTCGGTCCTGGGGCCGGTTTTGTTCAATATCTTCATAAATGATCTGGAGGATGGTGTGGATTGCACTCTCAGCAAATTTGCGGATGATACTAAACTGGGAGGAGTGGTAGATACGCTGGAGGGGAGGGATAGGATACAGAAGGACCTAGACAAATTGGAGGATTGGGCCAAAAGAAATCTGATGAGGTTCAATAAGGATAAGTGCAGGGTCCTGCACTTAGGACGGAAGAACCCAATGCACAGCTACAGACTAGGGACCGAATGGCTAGGCAGCAGTTCTGCGGAAAAGGACCTAGGGGTGACAGTGGACGAGAAGCTGGATATGAGTCAGCAGTGTGCCCTTGTTGCCAAGAAGGCCAATGGCATTTTGGGATGTATAAGTAGGGGCATAGCGAGCAGATCGAGGGACGTGATCGTTCCCCTCTATTTGACATTGGTGAGGCCTCATCTGGAGTACTGTGTCCAGTTTTGGGCCCCACACTTCAAGAAGGATGTGGATAAATTGGAGAGAGTCCAGCGAAGGGCAACAAAAATGATTAGGGGTCTGGAACACATGAGTTATGAGGAGAGGCTGAGGGAGCTGGGATTGTTTAGCCTGCAGAAGAGAAGAATGAGGGGGGATTTGATAGCTGCTTTCAACTACCTGAAAGGGGGTTCCAAAGAGGATGGCTCTAGACTGTTCTCAATGGTAGCAGATGACAGAACGAGGAGTAATGGTCTCAAGTTGCAGTGGGGGAGGTTTAGATTAGATATTAGGAAAAACTTTTTCACTAAGAGGGTGGTGAAACACTGGAATGCGTTACCTAGGGAGGTGGTAGAATCTCCTTCCTTAGAGGTTTTTAAGGTCAGGCTTGACAAAGCCCTGGCTGGGATGATTTAACTGGGAATTGGTCCTGCTTCGAGCAGGGGGTTGGACTAGATGACCTTCTGGGGTCCCTTCCAACCCTGATATTCTATGATTCTATGATTCTATGATTGGAATAACTTGTACATCATAGTAAACATGATCCTACTCAGTGATAACTATTTGAACATCATCAGCAGGTTTGAGACAGTAATTCTCATTAATAAGAGTAAAAGTAAGTTACAGTTTTATACGGGAAAATGTATTCCTACCATATGAGCATAAGTAAAGGCCAGCATTTTCAGACATTGGTGCCTAAAGTTTAGATGTCTAAATATGGATTTAGGCACCTAAATAAGAGTCCTAATTTCCGTTCCATAAGTAGATGAATAGTATGAATGAGGGGAATGTTAAACACAATGTGCTTTTGTATAAACATTGAATGAAGTCTTGGAAGAGCTTTCCTGGGGAAGTGGGATATACTGGGTGATTATACTAATGTTCTTTAATGGACTATGATGATGGATTTGCTCATTATAAGAGTTGCTTCTTGGTGCCCCATGTCGCACTGATTGGTGAAGGGAGGAGAGATCTTCCCCTCCTGCTAAGAAACCTGTGTGAAGAGGTCTAGGAACAGAAGCCACTATGAGTTTCCCATTGTGGGATTTCCTCTGGGTACTTCAGCCAGAGAGATGGACTCTGTGTATGAGTGTACCCGCACACGCACATCCTTGTGCCATAAGAAGGGGGCTCAGCCACTGAACCTCCCAGAGTCGCATGAATATCTGTGATCTGCTGGAGGAACAGGAACATCTGTGGGCGGATGTGCCTCCCCACCGTCTCCTGGGCTCACTGTCCTGCACATGCTCTCTAGCTGTGAGCCTCCATTGGACCTGTGCTACCAAGGATTCCTCCATTATCCAATGCTTCTGAGAAACCTCCTCCTACCTTACGCCGGGGGGGGGGGCGGGGGGAGGGAAGCTCCAGTGCACATGTTTGAGGGCTAGATGGGGAGGAGATGGAGGCACAGAAAAGTTACCACGGCTTGAGACTCCACTCACCGTTCGCAGCTTGCCAAGGCGGCAGGGCGGGAAATGATGTTCATCCTGAACCCACCCCACTGCCTCTGTCCCTGGTCTGCTCCTCACCATGGATATCAGAGGCCCAAGGATGCCCCTCCATAGTGTCATGGGGAACAGGGCTTTGGTTCCACTGGGGAGGCTGAGTCCCCCTCTCCCTCTGTCCAAGCTGGATGAGGAAGATCTGTGCATAGAGGCATCCCTTTAAGTGTGGAGCCTGGGTGGATGGTACACCCTACAGTGTCTGTATGTAGTGGTCATTTATTATTATACTCAATTTTATGGCCCACTCCAGCACTCCTTGTTTAGGCAGAGCTCTCTTAGGAGCCAATACGAATTTGCCTGGACATGGCATGGGGAGCTCTGGGCCTTTAATTTCCCTAACTGGCTCTGAGAGAGATGAACCCCACAAATTTCCCTTGCCTATTTTGTTCTGTGGTTTTACAAAGGTATAAACCAAATTCATTTTATCTTTCATAGTTCAACACAACTTTCAAAAATAAGACAGACTATGGAGAGACAATAATTGTGAATATAAGGTAAGTTCAGCAGCTCCTGTGTTTGTGTGTGTGTGTTTGTGATCTCTCTTTGTGTACATAGCATAGATACAGAACGCATCGCTCACATTGCTTTCTTAGTTTGCCCCAACTTATATACTGTCAATCCTCCTTTAATCAATTCAGATGAGCAATATGAAATGAACTCAGCTAAACGAGGTTTCAGATCAGTGAGGATTTCTTGCTTTTGGGAATGTGGCCCACTTTGGAAAATACACATTTTAGCATCAGAAGTTTCAGACTCATCCTGTGTGTAGGGTGAGCTGAGACAATACCCCTTGATGCACAGTAGAACCCCCTCTAGTAACAATGGGAGTTTTGCAAAAATACTGAGAGTAGAATATGGTATTGATGTGGTACGTAAATTTTTAGGGCCAGATTCCAAGAGCTTAACTTATGCTGAGTAGCACTTTACTCCATGGGTATTCCTATTGATAATAGCCAAAGGGGTAAGACAAACATGGCATAAGACCCTGTTCATCATGAATATAGGTATCAGAATCTGGCCCTTAGTAAAGTTACTATTGTATTCAGCAGCATTAAGAGGGAAAAATGTTTGGGGCACATTTAGGACCACTCTGACTTCAGCCTTTTACTTATTTGTTCATGTACATATGCACTTAACACAATGTGCAAAAATTATTTGGGCAATTGTACACCCATGTTATTTGAAAATCTGGCTCTTGAAAGTGTAATGATTAGGGTTAAGAGTGAAAACCTCATCACAAAAGGGACTGGATGCCTCAAGGAGTTACTAAGTAGGATAGAGCATCGTAAACCTCTTGGTTACCAATTGACATGAGATCCAGGTTGGTGCAAATAACCAGTAGTCAGTGAATTTGTGATCTCAGTCTAATTTCTAGTGAGAAAATGACCATTTCATAAAATCCTGTTGCAACTCATTTGCATTCATTGGATCACGTGTTGGCAGAGCAGAGACTAAAGAATGGGATGTGGAGACTGAATGATCTTCACCCCCTCAAGATGTTATCGCCGGGTGAGAACCAAGAGGCACCGCACAGTGGTATAATGTGTCTGTGGGCAAATCTGCTCTCGCTGCCTATGATATGCCTGTGTGATTGATTACAAAAATCTGTTGTTAAAGTAAATGTGGTTTTTATGGTACTTTCTACAATTACACTAGAGTCTTATTTTTCAGACAAAGTTCAGCAAAATCTAAAATACAGATTAAAGCGGAGACCAGTGGAACTATCGTGACAATAAGCAACATGTTTGAAGTGACCACAGAATTAAACGCTAGTGGTGTTGCTAGCCTCATAGAAGAAGCATTGAAAGTCCATTCCTATTTCAATAATGGCAGCTATCAAAGTAAGTACTACACTAAGAACACTGGAGGAGGTTTTCCGAGCTGATGAGGACAAAGCTCTTTGAAACATACCCTCCATTAATTTTAATGAGTTATGTCTAAATCCCCTAATCTACTTTGAAAACTCAACCATTCATTGTAACTTTTTGTCTTTTTGAGACACAGACAATGTTATATTTGTATTTGGGAATAGAATAGGAATATTCATTTCCAAAATGAATGTTTTTCTGAATGTTACAGTTTATGTAGCTAATGGGAGTATTATTATTTATTGTTTGTATTGTCATAGCACTTAGGAGCCATGGACCAGGAACCCATTGTACCAGCTGCGGGACAAACACAGAATAAAAATACAGTCCCTCTCTTTACACAGGACAAAAATAAAAGAAATATGACTCCTGTGTTTCTGAGTATAAGACAATCTCTTATTGGCGAGTGAGTAAGGAAAATTCCTTATTGTCTGATTATTCATAATTGTCCAGTAGGTGGGTTTCTTACCCCATCCTCGGAAGCATCTGGTATTGGCCACATTTAGGCCAGCATCCCAATTTAGGAAAATATTTAAGTAAATGCTTAACTTAAGCATGAGCTTAAGTGTTTTCTAAATAGGGACGGATTAAGCACATGCTTGAGCACTTTCCTGAACTGGGGCCACAGTGACCAGGTACCGGACGAGATGTCTCACCAGTGTAATCCAGTATGGAAATTCTTATGTTACTAAAACAACCAACTCTTGCAGGAAAAGTGCATTAACGCTTAGAGCTGAACATCTTTTGTTACGTTTTGCACTTTCTCTACTATTTCCTGCAAAAGTATCATTAATTAAAAATCAGCAGAAGCTGGGATCAGTCAAAAAACGTTGACATTTTTCAAGGAAAAACAGGCAGAAGGTATTTTTTTCTAAAATGTTTGTGAAAACTGTTCACATTTTTAATGAACTCTGGCAAAAATAAAACTTGCACACCAGTGCCCTGATCCTGCTACTGAGCTCCATGCAAATGGACACCTGTGTCCATGCAGAGCTCGTGATGGGACAGGGCCTTAGGGCTCATTTGTACAGATGCCAAATCCCTTTGTCCTTAGCCAGTAAAGCACGAACGCATATGTTTAACTTTAAGCACATGAATAATTCCATTGAGTTCAGTGGGACTATTTTTGTACTTTATTGCCTTGCTAAAACAAGGCCAGCATATTTACCCAGTAATACTTAAAGTTAAGCATGTGCTTAAGTGCTTTGATAGATCAAGGTCAGATCACTGAGCGCCTTGCAGGATTAAGCCCATAGTTAGGAACTGAGCTGAATCTTTTGCTGAAAATTTGCGGGAGGGCTCAGAGGATGACCTAGTATGTGACTCAATTTTGCCGGAATTACAATAGCTTTGAACTCCTTGTGAGTCCTGGTGGATTAAGATTGCTTTGTAAAACTGAATCTTTAAAATCTACAATTCAGTCCCTTCTATTTATAGTCAATTATTAAATAATTTAAGATGCCTAATTATCTTCTCAAGAAGATTCCTTCTGTGCATGGGGTGTCTGAGCACTCTCAGTGCTGTAGCAGCAAGTTTGATATTTGAAGTTTGAGTCGGACAGAATTTTTTACGCTAGTCCTTTTTTTTTTTTTTTTTTTTTTGAGGATGTAACATTCTAAATGGAAAAATTAAACTAAGATGTAAGCATGGCTTTATTAGTGCCATTTACTCATTTGTCATCACTTACAGCTGTGCAAATCAAACAAAGCCATAGCTTTTGGAACCAACTTGAAACAAAATCCTGATAGATTTCTTTTCAAAGTATCATTTTGAGGTTTATTTTCCTGAATCAATTTTAAATAATTTAAAACTATAGAAATTGCTATGCTAGTTTAGACAATCAAGTGAACCTAATGTCTCTGAGTGGTCAGTACCAAATACCTCAGAAAAAGATAGAACAACCTCCATAGTGGAAATTATTGAATAACCCATCCATAGGGGAAATTTTTTCTAACCCCAATCAATTATAGAGCTCCTCTCCTATGCTGAGCTTCTATCCCAATTTCAAGTTATATATAAGTTGAACACTGTATGACATATTACTTATAAGCTTGGATCCTGCAAATACTTACATGTATGCTCAGCTTTACATCCATCAGTCGTCTCCACTAAAGCGCAACTCCCTGTATGGGAGGGCAGGGGGTGGATTGCATGTTTTTTAAAGGGGCTAAGGGAAGAAACCTTCACGAGAACTTCTTTCTGGATGGCATTGGGGAAGGTTAGGCCGCTGGGAGGCAAATCAGGCCAGTTGTAGGCAGGGAGAGATGAGAGATCAGCACCTGTGATGGGAATGGTTCAGTTGCTGGGAAGGTCATCAATACTGTAAAGGTTAATTCAAGGTGACGGGGGGTATTTGTACCCTAAATATAGCTTAAAATTGAATTCAGAAATACTAACTATACAGTACATAGGCTATTAAGCAGGCACACTACTTCGTATTAAAGGCTGCTGCTAATTATAGATTTTATTTTATGATAAGTCTTTGAAATATTTCATTTTGTTTTTAGAACTTTCACAATGTGACATTTATGGCTGTGATGAGGCAACTACTAATTGTGTGGACACTGATGGACTAACGTGTGAGTGCAAATCAGGATTGTCTAAGAAGAACAAAGAAGAAAAAACCTGTTCAGGTGAGAGCTTTATGACCATTATAAGCTCTTATAATAGGTTGGGCTTTCCTCTCCCCGCCTTCATTTCCCCTTGGTTGCACTCTGTGTCAGCACCATTTGAGAAAAAGGGATTTTCTCAGGTGCTGAGCATCTGCAGCTCTGAAAATTGGGCACTGAAGCCCTGATGAAACAGTGATCTTAAGCAGGTGCTTCACTTTAATCATGAGTCATTCCATTCCACTTTAGCAATGCTCTTAAGCATGTGACTAATTTAAACCATCTGGGTATTGTGATTGAAATCACAGTATTGGTACCACATAGCCAGCTGAGCATTGGGTAGATAACCTATTCTCCTTGCAAATGGTTCAGGAGTCAATCCACCAGGGCTGCTGGGCTTGAAAAAATCTGGAGTCTGACTGTGCATACCAGCGGTTTACAAATAGCAGGTCTTTGTTATTTAACAGGACCTATTGAATAAATTATTGTCTCTTACTAGCATGCCTGTAGGACTCGGTGTTATTATTTTCCCTGACGGTTTGCAGATTTTCTTGGGGCCTATGAGGTTGGCCCATTGCCTCACCATGACCCAGAGCTAGCCAGCAGTCCAGCTACCCCTAATCCCCTTTCTAGGATTCAGCTGCCCTGCTGCCCACTGGGTTTTAGGGGTGGTATTGTAACTGTGCTGCACAAGACAGAGTTGCCAGCCCTAAGCATTCAACAATCATGAGGGGTTTTCAGAAGATAACAAATTTGGGGTTCTTATTTGCCTTTTGGTTTTGGAGCCTTTACCAGACATTCAGTTCATGTTTTCAAGCCTTTCTCCGTAACCACGAGTGCTAGAAACATGCTTTATTAAGTGAGATTCTCACCTAATTAATTGATTCCAAGAGCTGAGCCTTTAAGAAAAACAGCAAATCTTGGAAAAAATCATGATAAAATCACAAGAGTTGGCAAGGCCACAGACTGGTGGGAACCAAGCAATGGTACTTTTTCTTCTGCTATTGTGCCTGTATTTAAGTTTCTTTTCTGTGTGTGTATTTCTATTAAAAGATCATTCGATACCCCTTAAAGACATAACATAGCACAGAGGCAAATCAGAATTCTGTGAGTTTATAAGGGGACAGGAAATAAACAGGTGTATTTTGCCACCTTCTTTGTTAACTGAAAATGTAAATATTTGCATATTGAAGTATTAAGCCTCTATATCAGAATATCCATTTTCAGACTGTCTTTAAAACAACTCTCGGTTTTTTTCCATTGAAAATGTAGATTGTGATAACACATGTTCTGAAGAAGATCACATGCATTGTGTTACGGGTAAAAACAGCGCCCCAGTTTGCCAATGTCTTCCTAATTTCAAAAACAAAGATGGAAACTGCGTGAAGTGAGTACTCAGCTACTTCCTTTGTTCTATCAAGATAAGGCAACGTGGTATTTAAAACAGGATGGAGTTGACAATATTGCTTTTAGAATCACAGCCCTAAACTGCACAAATTAAATGACATTAAGTAACCAACAAAGACTGAGCTATACTGCTTCAAATTCATGGCAGAACTTCCATTGAGGTCCAGGGGAAGCACATGTGCTGACCAGTATAAGTCCTATGGTATTTTGCTTGGGTTTCCCTCTAGAGATTCTTCCTCCAGGACAGGGTTGAAACTCATTACTGGAGTAGTGTGGGGAAGCTATGCTACTACCCAGGCTGTACCTCTGGATAAACAGAGAACTTCTTCATTCTCTGTCAATCCAGCTGTTCCTATGACTGTTACATTCACCAGCAAAATTAATTCTGACACTAGCATAAGTTTTATTTCAAAATGGTAGCATTGGTATGAAAAGTGAGTCGCTGTCGGCACTCAGGTGCCCAAGAAAGACTATGACACACAAAGGCCAAGTTTTTCAGAAGTGGCTAGTGACTGTGAGTGCCTCCATTTTTGGGCACCCATCTTGAAACACCTATGGGGGCTTGATTTTCATAGACGGGTGCTCGGCACGTTCTGAAAATTAGCCCCTTTTAAGGTGTATCAAGTTGGGCACTTCAAAAATGGAGACATCCAAAACTACATCAGTAGTCATGTCTGAAAATCTTGGACAAAGAAATTTTAGTTTAGAAAGGAAATTGGTGTTCCTCAACTGTTTCTTCTCACCCAAATCAACACAGATACTACGTAGATTTTGAGATAAGATCACAAATATGAAACCCATCAATAAGAGAAGATGGTGGTGGGTGGGACTGTTCCATTGTTTCATGACCATCTACTGAACAGCATGAACTCAATTTCCATTTCTTTTACTATTGTTTAGGTGTGATGTGGGCTACTCTGGAGTAAACTGTAGCAACAGTGAGTACAAGAGTTTCTGATGTTTACTTATAGGAAAGATTTCCAGCAACGTTTTACTTGCAGAGCAGACCCTGCAATAGTAGAGTGAGCATTAGTAGCATATGGAGATGCAAACACACCATGTTAACAACAACACAAAGTTAGGGAAGGATGAGTTAAAAAGCGTGAGTCCTGTAGCCATGTGGCAGGAAGCATTATAGACACTAAGGCCAGAAGAAACCATTAGATTATCCAGTTTGATCTCCTTCTGGCCATAGAACACAGGCTATCAAATTGCATCCAATTATGCCTGCATTGAGCCCAATAACTTGTGTTTGGCTAGAGCACGTCTTTCAGAAAACCATCCAGTCTTGATCTGAAGGCATCAAGAGATGGAGAATCCATCACTTTCCTTGGTAGTTAATTTATTCCAGTGATTAATCATGCTTCATGCCTTTTTTCTAGTTTGAATTTGTCTAGCTTTAACTTCATCCACTGGTTCTCATCATACCTTTCTCTGCTACATTAAAGTGCCATTTAGTACCCCATATTTTCTCCTCAGGAAGGTATTTATACACTATGATTAAGTCACCTCTTGATCTTCTTTTTGATAGCTGAACAGATTGAGCTCCTTCATTCTTGTGAGTTTTATCTGCAAACTCTCCAATTTTTCAACATCTTATAGGATAGGAAAATATTGTTGAGAGAAATGTCCCCCTCATCCCTCTCAGAGGTTGTGCTGACAGTATCATCCTGTGTAGAGAGAAGTTTGCTGAAGAACTTGACACTTATGACTGTTTAATCACTGTGACTGGCTGGGGTCTAATTCAGTGCAGGGTGCATTTGCATGTGAATGTTTCAACTCCTCTTACCATCACTATATTCTTAAATTGGTATATGTTTAACCTGTGTGTGTATTCAACTCTAAGACCTCAAAACCTTTGCATGTTTTGCCTGAAAGTTTTTAGGGAAATGGCTAATAATAGTTTTAACACAGCACAGAGTAAAGCTGGCCAGGCATAAGCATAAGTTATAAGAGGAAGAAATTTTTGACCCTGTTAAATGCTCTGCATGTATTTTGTTAAGAAGGCTTTTGGGTTCTTACTTCTAATGCCTTTTCTAAAACAATTTAAGAAAACCAATTGCTTAAAATATGCACAAATGCAACAGCAAGGTTATGAATTTAAAGACAATCTTGGGAAATTCTAACAATAAAATTCAGAGGGCAACATCAACTCACCCGCACACCATATGCTGTCTCTCAAATATATACATTTAACAGACTAACTCATGATCCAAAATAGTACAGCATTACTAGTACTAAAGGTTGTGTGGGCAAAGTGATAGTCTCAATTATACCTCTTCCCCTCCACCCCACTATCTTCAGAGTAAACCTTTAGAGACACTTTGTACCCTCATTGCCTACAGTGTAGCTGCACAGAGCTAAGTGACTGGATTTTAGTAGGCAACTGCATTAATAATGTGCAAGAGGAAATGGAATCCAGTTCACGCTCTCTGAGGGCAAATCTCCACTACCGCTTAAGTCGATCTCACTTACGTCGCTCAAGGGAGTGAAAAAACCACCTTCCTGAGTGATGCAAGTTACAGCGACCTAAGCGCTGTTCACACCGATGCTATGACGGCAGGAGACGCTCTCCCACTGACATAGCTTCTGCTGCTCACGGAGATGGAGTAATTATGCCAACAGGAGAGCACTCTCCCATCAGCATAGAGTGTCTTCACTAGATGCACTACAGGGGCACCACTGCGCTGATGTAGCACTTCTAGTGTAGATCTGCCCTCAATTGTGTTGACTCTGCAGGAGTAAAGAGCAATGAAAAGTTATTTTACTCACCAAAGTTAGCAAATAAGATTCTGATTACTCTATCTTAAAGCAGACACTGAAGCGGCAGCATTATGGAGTTGTGCAAATGTAGTTTGCTTAATTCCATGTGGATTTTTTTTTAAACTCCTCCACACTGTAGATGGAAAAAACATAGCTGCAGCACCCTGGCATTGGGCAGCTGGTTTTCATTATTCCACAGTGCTTCAGGCAATTACACAACTAAAAGCATCAGAAAAAACGTCATCCTAAGCAAGTGTAAAAGAGAACTTCCCTTCTGAAATTTCCTCCCCAAATTGATCAACTCAATGATTCTTGACTCAGGAGTTCATAGTGTTGTCACAAACTTTAATCTACACAACAGCCCTATGAGGTCAGTATGAGGCCCATTTTATAGAAAGACAGTTGAGGCAGAGTGTGTTTAAATGATTTGCCCTGGTCATATAAGAAGTCTGTAGCAGAACTGGGAATTAAACCCAGCCCTTCTGGCTCTTTAGTTCGAGCTGTAGTAGCTTATACTTTTAGCTCTGGAGGTTCCTAGTTCAATCCCCAGTGTGTGTTGGCCAAGATAAGATGGCAGATGTTATGTCAGTGGAGGTGATCCAGGATTCAAACTGCTATGGGCCTCAGATGCTTTGGATGAGCTTCCTTTGAGCTGAAAAAGTATGTAACTCACTGGTGAGTGGGTGTTATGGGGTCCCCCTCTGCAGATTCACAGCGGATATGAAGTGTTACAGTTCTCTCTGAGCTTTAGCTCAAACTATAGCAGCTTATGCCTTTAGCTCTGGAGCAGACGGGTTCAATCCATGATGGTGGCCATCTCATAAGCACTGCCCCAAGAGTAATAGCATGAAAGACAGATACGTTTTCATAGAATCATAGAATATCAGGGTTGGAAGGGACCCCTGAAGGTCATCTAGTCCAACCCCCTGCTCGAAGCAGGACCAATTCCCAGTTAAATCATCCCAGCCAGGGCTTTGTCAAGCCTGACCTTAAAAACCTCTAAGGAAGGAGATTCTACCACCTCCCTAGGTAACGCATTCCAGTGTTTCACCACCCTCCTAGTGAAAAAGTTTTTCCTAATATCCAATCTAAACCTCCCCCACTTTTTGATGGTACAGAATCTATTTTACTTCAAAATATATTCTTACTGTAGAAAAGGAGAGGTTCCCTTGTATATCATGTTTGCTATGAATTTTTAATCTCTCTCTTTTCAGATTCCTTGTTGATCCTTATCATTGTGGCTGTCCTATGTGGGGCTCTGATCCTGGGCTTAGCTGCAGGACTCATTTTCACTTCAATGAGGTACAAATAGTTGCTTGCTAGGCACTTAAACACAAGGGAGATTGCTAAACTCTACAGAGTGGGCTAGTTTCAAAAAGAGGGGCCAGATTTTTAAAGCTGCCAATGCAATTGTCTCTCTATTTGGGACACATCATTACCACCATTTTGCATGAAGGTAAGGTATTTTTCCCTTTGAATGTGTTCCTCTAACAATTTGTGTGCTGTCATGAGAAATGTGTGCTCACATTGTTGAGAATCTGGCCCGGGGTGTCTGTTTCCAAAATACGCAAATATGGCTGAAATGTACCCCCTCCCCCTGCTTAAAGCCTCTAAATTCATATCTCTGCCACAACACACAACCCGAAAGGAGGTCAGACTCCACCCCTTGAGCCCAGGGACAGACTGTGGAGCTCAAGTTCAGCACCTCTGTGGTCCTCCTTAGCCAAGTGGGTTGCCCCCTGTCCAGGTTTTCCCGGGATCATCCCTTTTTTTGAGGTAGCTGTTGTGGGAAATCTGTAAATCTTCTTGGGACAGTAAAAGTCCTGGGTTTTCTCAGAAAGTTTCTCAGGGATGCGGGCTGCATCTGCACTGAGCCCCAATGGGCAGCCAGGGCTGCCAGGTGGGAAGCCTATGAGGGTGAGCTCCAGGAGGTGGGACAGGACTGGCTGCAGGGGCAACTCGTGGTTGAGGGACAGAGAGTGGCAATAACAAGAAGGCTGGGGTGCTGCAGGGCCAACCTACCCATAAGCAAGCCACCAGGTAGGCAACAGGGACCAACCCAGGGTGTCCAGCAACAGGGGCTGGGGTCATGGGCTCAGAGCAGCAGAAGATGGGGGCATAGCCTAGGTGCTTGAGGCCGTAGGAAGAAGAGGGGCTGGGGTGGGCCTGGCTTGGGGGCTTCAGGTTCCTCACCCTGGCATGGGTGGCAGAGGGAGATGGTACCTGCTGCACTGTGCCCTGGCATGATAGTGGGCTAGTTGGGTCTCTGGCATGTAACTGATAGGCATGTTGCAGTGTTCTATACCTCAGAGGGGGCAACCCCATCAGCCACTACTCCAGCCTATGGGCTGGAATGACAACAGCTGTCTCTGCATCTTTTATCTGGGGTTCCCAGCCACTAGATCTGCCTAATCTTAAACCCAATGGCCCCTTTCTCAGCCCAGCTCCAATGCTCCCCTGTGCACTGGCCTATTCTGAATTGCCATGGAGCCTATGATCCTCCCAAGCAGGGGGTATGGAAGCCACTCAAGCATAGTCACTCTACCCTTGCCCACTCCTGGAGGAATACAATGTGGCATTTGCAGGGTGGAGGACCTTGATTGCATGTATGAAAGTAGCTTTTGTAATGGGTATAAATTAACATACCAGTTTCTTGTTTGCATACACAGTTACAAGTGCAATTAGTGTTGTGTCAGGGAGAATTCCCTCTTCCCATGACAAAACAGAAAGGGGTTTCTCTGATCTCTGCCCCTCCTGGCACCTTAAACCATATTTGTAATAAGAAGTTTTGGGGCTTGCTTTATAAACTGCGCTGTCTGGCCTTTGTGACAAGTGCAGGTGCACCAACATTTACTCTCATTGCATATTTCAAAAAGAGGGACAAGAGAGTGTGAAAAATAAGGAGGAGTGGGGGGTTAAATGGATCAAGATACATCTAAAAAGTTAAGCCTTGGAAAAGACGCTTTCCTTTTTCATTAAAGAGCAAATAAAAGGCAAAATCCAGAGAAGAGGCATTTGCTGAGAGAGGACTATTCAGATAACAGAGAAACACCTGGACTTGTTTCTGCCATCAACCCTGCTGCAAATGAGAAAATCTTTCCCACAATCCAGACTAGCAATGCTAGTCAAGTGAACCCTTATGAGATGGGACCACAAACAAGGAGACTTCCTGAGAGGGATTATGATGATGATGAGGTAGGTGATTCATACATGACTAAGAGAATGTATATTTTAACCCTAGTAATGTAGGGAAAGGGTGAGATCCTCACCTCCACTCCAGCCCCTTCATAGTGGGTAAAAGGGATAGAGTGGTGGGTCTGAAAGCCCTTGATCAAGCCCTGGAAACATACCCCTATCACAGGAGCTGAAGAAGACAGCTGTAGGCTGCCTTCTGAGGACCCCCTTAAAAGCCCTCATGCCTTTGTGCTGTGGGTAGAGCTGCAGGGGTGGGAAAGGGTGTCATGGGGGAGGCCACAGCATGCAGTGCTGCTGCCCAGGGAGGCTGCTGAAACTTAGACAAACTCTCAGAACTGTCTAATTTATACTGGGGGCCACTCCAGCCCGCCAGAGCAGCCCAGGTTTTGGAGGGCACGAAGGGGGCTTAAAGGGCCGTAAGAGGCATAACCGAGAACCTCACCCATTGCTTTAACACTGCTTGTTGGGCTCCCCTGTGCATAGACGAGTTACGCTAGAGGGTGTTTTCTGACACACTGGGATGCACTGCCTGGATTTTGGCTCTTTATACTCAGCTGGAGAACTGCGGTGCACCGTGGCACTTGGTGCGGCAGTTTTAATCACATTGAGAACATAGCGATCAATAAAAGGCATGTGCTGTATCCTGCGTGCGCCCCATAAATAACACATCGGTAGTACAGGCAGATGCGTGATTTCAGAGATTTCAGAAGTGAGCTGTAGCTCATGAAACCTTATGCTCAAATAAATTTGTTAGTCTCTAAGGTGCCACAAGTCCTCCTTTTCTCTATGCTTTGTGTGTCATTTTCCTCCCTCCCCCCCCCCCCAATAACTTATATCGAATGTTAATTTTCCCAGGTTTTAGATTTTTTCCATCAAATTCAATTTCATCTGGAGCCTTGCAACCCTTGAACATTTGCACGCACACACACACACACACACACACACATACATACCCCTCTTTTAGGGGAAAAAGTGTTTTTTAAATGTTTGGCATCCCGATTTTGCAGCCCTGGCTTAGGGAAAACACCCACGTGAAGTGACTTGGAGTTTTGTCTGGATACAGAGTGCAGAATTGGACCTTGAATATCCAAAGCCTTTTGGAAAAGTATTTTAGGTCCACCTCAGTAAGGACCTGATGCAGCAAACTGTCCCAATTTAGTAAAGAACTTGTCCAAGGGCTTTAATTTTAAGCACATGCTTGTGCTGAATTGAGGCCTAATCCTTGAATCCGAGAAACATGGTAAATTTTACATTGTGTAATACACAAAAACTGCTGATAAAAAGGAACTAATTACTTCAGGTAACAATCACTTGATCTGATGTAGCCAAATAGTGATTTTGTCAGACTTTCCTGACTGATCAAGATTAACTTTTCACAGATGAAAACGTATCTTGAAAAATAATTGCCCCAAAACTCTCTGTTTTCCATCAAAGCTCAAGTTAGGCTGAGGAAGGGCTACTGCAGTAGAACACATGAACACTGACCTGTAGTTTCTGTCCCATCAACTTGTTCATATTGCTTTTTCAAGTTTGAAACGACATCAAAGGGTGATGGCTTCAGGCTTCAGCGCAGATACTGAATTTAAGCAGAACAAGAGACCAGCAGCTTGGAGAGATATGAGAGCCATGACAACAGACCACAGTCGATGGGTTCTGCAGCTTCATCACCTACCAGAGGATTTTCATTGGGTAGCAATTAGAATGCTTAAATTGACGACAAATTCTGCAGACGACTTTTTAAATGAAGACAGCAATCTGAAGGAGACATCTGTATAACTAATCTGCTTAAATAAGTGAAAATTAAAATGGGGACAAGATGTATTTAAGGACACTATGGGCTTGTCCATCACAGATTGTGTCTACACAAGATTTTTTCAGGAAGCCTCCCACCCTTGCAGCTTTAGCAGTGGCAGCCATAGTGGGAGAGCTAGCGTATACAGGGCACCAGCATTTTAACCCCGGTGTTGTCTAACTCTATTCAGAGAAGGTCCAGATGACAGGGTGATGACAGCCATCTGAGCTGGTCTGCACCAGCACTCTTGCCATTGCTACCACGGGCAAAGATGTGTTAACATCATGAAAAACTGCCACACAAAAAAAGTAGTGTAAGTCCAGGCTACAAAGAACAGTCTCCCAGATTTCATACTGCTTTGGGTTCCAAATAGATAGCGCTGTCTTGGGAACATTCAAACAGATGAGCTCCAATCTCAACTGGAGCCCCTAAGTGTTGCTATAAAACAAATAATAAAAGATCTGGTTTCAGATTCCAACTCTTGCTTGCCACAGCCCCTTCATGTTGGAGGGTCTTCAGTTCTGTGAGACCCAGATCGAGGCCTGAGCCTGGTGTCCAGAGCCAGGGCTTCGGTCTGAACCCATTTACACTTCCCTCCGCATACAATGGCAGGGCCACTACCTCCCAAGGATGCCTTTTACAAAAGCATTAGCTTCCCATCACATATGGTTTGTGATCACTTTCAGCTTCTCTGGACGTAAGCCTGGTATAAAGCATATTTCTACTAAGCTTCCTGAAAAGAATTGTTACTTGGATTTTTTTCCCCTTATTATTTTTATTATTCAATTTCGCTGTCTTTTTACATTCAGTAAATCTTTTTTAATATGATACCTAATCCATATTTTACTGTATAATTTATCATATAATGTCTCCATTGATTAGCACTAGCATTTCAAACTCTGTATATATATTTAAAAAGGTTAGGTGCCTATAAAATATAATTTAATTTAATTTAATTACCATGTTACAGTTTGTGATTTGTGTTCTTGGGACATACAAACTAACTTGTGTTCTATTAAACACAGCACTTGCTCAATAAACTGACTTTCATATAATGCTGTTCACAGAGATGTGGGGTTCCCTTGCACACATCAGACCTGTCCTCTGCACCCTACACTGGCTCCCACAGAATATCAAATCAAGTTCAAAATCTCAGTCCTTCTCTTCCAGGCACTCTATGGTCTGGGGTCAGGGTACCTAAAAGATTGACTAAAGCCGCAGGATGAAAACCATGATGGAGCTCTTTATAGTAAGGGTAAAGCTCGTCTGTGCAGGAGACAGAGCTTTCTCAGGAGCCAATGTGAGACTCTGAATGAGCTCCCACAAGAACTAAGGATCACCACAAACCCCACCCCTTCCACTTTAAGTGAAAGGCACATTTCTTTTACCTGCTCTCTCTAATATAAATACATAGCAGTGTGTGTTATTTAAAAAAAATCAAAACAAAACACTCCACTGCACACACTTCTTCCCCAGGGGAGAGGAGAAGAGAACAAAGACAGGACAGATGCTAGTCATGTTACTTAATGAGCAACTGAAGATGCTCAGATACTACACTGATGAATGCAGTATAATTAGTTGTAGGTGTCTGAATACAGCTTCTGAACACCCCCAAAGGCAGAGAGGGGTTGGATCCAGGAGTCTGGTTTGTGCCCACCTTGCATTCAGATGATCAAATTAGAAATATTGGTTAAATCTCAATGTAGTGATGCTGCTTAGGGGTTTTGTACCCAGTGCCATTGACTTTCAATGAGAGTTGGGTGCCTAACTCCCAAAGGCCTCTGAAAATTCCAGCCTGGATTCTTAATGGTTCTGTGATATGCCAGCCTTGGGTATATGATCATCTATCTTTCTTCTGGCTGGCCCCTATGCCCATAACAGTCTGCTACTTTCTCCCAGGTAAGGAAGTTCTCCATTAGCTCAGAATGTAGAGGCTTTTGGTTTGGGGACTACAGGTCTGCTCCTGCTGATACCTATGACACTTGTATGCAGCTATGCACTTCGTCAATACTTTAAATGTTCTAACGCAACCAATATGTGACTGGAAGGATACCAGCCAGTTGTGAAGAATGGAGGATGTGCCAAGTGGTTCTGATATTTTTCATGGGCCCTCTCTGATAAGCTTCAATATTTGAATGATTATTCTTTAGTCTTACTTCATGTCCTCTGATAAAGTCACACCAGACAACTGGCCATCTGGGGTTGACCCCACACTGGCAATGACAGAGTTAAAGGCAGTCAGAGATCCCAATTAGTCCATTTTGTGACACCTGGAGGGGAGACAGGTAATTAAGGATTAGATCCAACTGGGGATAGCCAGACTGGGTGGTTTCTATCAAGGAAGGACAGTGGGGCCAAAAGCAGTACACAAGAGAAGAGAGCTACAACAGTGAGCTTTTACCCTGGGACTGGTCCTGAAAGGAGAGGCTAACAGGGGTTCCAGGTGACTGCCAGTGGGGAGCCATCCTGAGAAGAAAACTCAGCAACAAACTGGGAGAAGCTGCACAGAGGGAAGAAGCTCCAAGGAGAGAGGAGTGGAGAGCACAGCTCCACGAGAGACACCTGCAAACAGGCAAAGGTAGGAAATAGCCAAGGGAACTAGCAAAGGATCATAAGAAACAGACCCTAGCTGCTTATCACCCAGAGGAGAGGGTGGGCCTGGGTTCCCTTGCACCCCCCCTACAGGAGAGGCAGTGTAAGCTGCAAGAGGAAAGGGGCAAGGACTACTGAGCCTACACTGGGGCTGAAGACCTGGTTCATGGTCACTAAGGCTTTAGGTTTTTGTTTGGACTTCTTGTTTCCCTAGGAGGGGTGAGGCTCTCAGCTGTCTGGATGAGTCATAAGAAGGAACAGACCACAGCAGGCATGTCTACACAGCAACCAGATACCTGTGGCTGGCCTGTGCCAGCCGACTTAGGCTTGTGGGCTTCAGGCAGAGGGGTGGTTTGGTAGAGATCTGAGGCTGTTTCACTGCTGTATCCAGCTGGAGCCCAGGCTCTAGCACCCTGCAAGGTGGGAGGGTCCCAGAGCTCAAGCTCTAGCCTGAGCCCAGAAGCATTCACATCAGTGAAACAGCCCCATAGCCTGAGCCCCATGAGCCTGAGTCAGCTGGCATAGGCCAGCTGTGGGTTTTTCTTTGCTGTGTAGGCATACCCAGAATGGCCCAAGTAGCTGCAGGCAGGGCATGACAAAGATGGATGGGCTCCAACACCAGCCAGGGATTGAACCTTCAATACTTTTCTACTCACAATGCTGGTCATGTATAAACCATGAAACACAAGCAACAGTGAGGCGTGGTTTGGTAGAGACTTGTGGACAGGTTCCAATTAAAAACAATGTACCTTAACCAGAATCTGAACACTTCTCATTTTTTGTTGCTGCTTCAGCTTCTGTTCTTCAATAGGACCATATGTAGATGGTCCAGAATATCTTGACCATACTGTTCTGACCCAGCTGAATCCAAGATGTACTAGAAACCTTGCCAAGGCAGACTGATCTTGCAAGCTTTCGAGCCTGATGCTTAGACCAAATTGGTTCAGAGAAGCTTAGGATACAATGGTCCTATACTGAACTGCTGAACTTTTTGAAGTTCAGACATCATAATAGGTTTTTAGACCTTTCCATGGGTATTCCATATTCTAGTTAGTATTATGGCTGTATAGAAGTGCTGGACTATACCTACGTATAACGGTAATAAATACTTATAACAGAAATACTTCTTAGGAGATAAATAATACTCCAAACTATTCTGGTTAATAACTTTAGGACTCATGGGGATTATATCTGAAGATATATCAGTCTGCATCTTCAAAACCTACAAATGAATTTATTGATTTATGCAGTCAATATCTATGGATGCCTTAATTCTCTCTGCCAAAGTCTCAGTGAATAGATGTATTATTTTAATTAAGTTTAGTCTTTTCAGTGTGTGTGATTTTTTTTTTCATTTTTTTTTAAAATTATGTCTTCTGGTAAGTAAAGCAAAAGACTGTCCATTGAGGTTTCTAATCTAAGAGAGATCTCCAGTTCTACCTCCTAATGTCAATGAATTTTTTAAAAATACATACAGCTGTTGGCTGTTAAAAACGTTTATGTAAATAATTATTAAAATCCTTTTTTTCTTGCAAAGCAAATCATAGGAATTTGAACTGTATTCGAAGGCTGAATCATGAGTTACTCTTTAATTAAATCTGCTGTATTATGCTCAGTAAGTTATTTGCGGGTCAATGACGAGACAGACTGCAAAAGCTGTCAGATGTTCATGTCATTTGAACACTGCGGAATTTTAATTGCATTCAAAGTTAACTTTCATAGCAGCAGCAACGGCATCCTCTGCTTGTGCTACAAGGGTCTGTCAGAGTTTCTTTTAAAACCCCTGATCTTCAGGATTTCAGACTCAGCCATAAACATCTGATCTAGGCTGCAACTCTGTAGTTATAAAAGGCAAAGTGGGAGGGATTTGTTTTCAGTTTGGCTATTTTAAAGTATTTTTCTACTCTGAAATGTGTCTGGGAAAACAGCATTGTGGGGTTTTGTGATTATTGGCTTTTAGTTCAAAAGGTTATTCTAGCTGCCCAGCCTGCCAAATCAGCCTGGGATCTGAGAATGAAACTGGATCCAGTCCTCTTTTATTATTGCAAGTAACTGAGATTCTGCAGGCAAAAGTATAGACCCCTGCTAGTGATACATGTGGAATCCCACTGCAGCAAGACTGTGCCTTCAGTGGGGTATTACTTCCAGGGTCAAGACGGACACATGACCGGAAGCAAAGGATGTCATGTGACCCCTCTAAGAACTTCTCCCACCACCCTCTACCAATCAGGATGGGTTTCACACCCCGCCCCCCGTAGGACTGCCGCGAGAGGAGATTTGACCAATCAGGGGTGTTCCGGGGTGGGGTGATCTGTCCAAAAGTGGGTCATGTGACCCATCTAAGAATTCTTCCCACCATCCTCTACCAATCAGGATGGTTTTCAGTCACAGAGAACATCCCTGAGAGTGGATTTGACCAATCGGGGGGAGTTCTGGGGGAGGGTGACCTGCCCAGAAGAGGGTTGTATTACCCCTCTAAGAACTCCCCCTACCACCCTCTTCCAATGAGAGTGCAGCATCACCCTCAGAAGCAGGAGGGGCTGAGGCAGCTGGGCTTTGTTTAAGAAATGTGCAAGTTCCATGTCTGTTTCTATCACCTCCCACTCGTGCTCCCAGAGGGTCCTTACTACTTAACCAAGTCTTTTCAGATAGTTGGTCTTATAGAATCATAGAATATTAGGGTTGGAAAAGACCTCAGCAGGTCATCTAGTCTAATCCCCTGCTCAAAGCAGGACCAACACCAACTAAATCATCCCAGCCAAGGCTTTGTCAAGACGGCACTTAAAAACCTCTAAGGATGGAGATTCGACTGCCTCCCTAGGTAACTCATTTCAGTGCTTCACCACCCTCCTAGTGAAATAGTGTTTCCTAATCCAACCTAGACCTCCCCCACTGCAACTTGAGACCATTGCTTCTTGTTCTGTCATCTGCCACCACTGAGAACAGCTTAGCTCCATCCTCTTTGGAACCCTCCTTCAGGTAATTGAAGGCTGCTATCAAATCCCCCCTCACTCTTCTCTTCTGAAGACTAAATAACCCCAGTTCCCTCAGCCTCTCCTCATAAGTCATGTGCCCCAGCCCCCTAAACATTTTTGTTGCCCTCCGCTGGACTCTTTCCAATTTGTCCACATCCCTTCTGTAGTGGGAGGACCAAAACTGGACACAATACTCCAGGTGTGGCCTCAGCAGTGCCGAATAGAGGGGAATAATCACTTCCCTTGATCTGCTGGAAATGCTCCTACTAATGCAGCCCAATATGCCATTGGCCTTCTTGGCAACAAGGGCACACTGCTGACTCATATCTAGCTTCTCGTCCACAGTAATCCCCAGAACTGTTGCTTAGCCAGTCGGTCCCCAGCCTGTAGCGGTGCATGGGATTCTTCCTTCCTAAGTGCAGAACTCTGCACTTGTCCTTGTTGAACCTCATCAGATTTCTTTTGGCCCAAT